TGCATTAATTTTCTCTTTCGACAACCACACTTTCTAAATCTTTTTCAGGTGTCTCCTGACTTAATAGCAGAAATAAGACTATACTCATATGATAGGTTTAGGCTCCACACTGATGCTTTTTAAAAATGTTCAGTCTAACATTATTCAATACTTTTGGCTTCAGTCTCCAGGCCAAAAAACGATGACTTCCAAGGGTATAAAATTCTGTGTATGGTCCTAAGTAATGTGTTTTAATGCTCCAAATTGTAACAATAGGAAGGAAGACCTTATGTACCATTTTACTTTGAAGTAGACCTTTGATACATCAAATAATCAGTATATTGCAAAAAGCCCCCTGGAAACTCCCCATCCCGCCAGATTCTCCAATGAGTACACAGATCATCCTACGTCTTGACCAATCATCCAAGTTATTTGATGCTTCCTGATAACTCTTGCCACCTTTTAGGGATGTCAGGTCTGGACTCCTACGCTCCCCCAGGTCACATGCCCACCCTACCTGCCTCTCTTTGTTCTCCTGGCTGTGCTATGTGTCATCTTCTCCTCTCCTCCAAACAAACTGGGTACGGGTAGGCCAGTCAGACAGCTAATGGGATTGTGTAGCTCTGAGTTATCAAGGGGTTGACAGATTCAAGGACACCAGAGAAGAAACTCAATTTTGCCATGAATGTTCTTCCCAGGGTGTGAGCAATGGGGCAAATCATGAGCAGGTCTATGTGTGACTCCTGGATGTCAATGTCACTCTTCAGAGTCTTTGTACACTCACTGGCCTACTTTTTTTTTTTTTTTTTGTTTAGATGGCGCCTCAAGCTGTCCCCCTGGGCAGAGTGCCATGGCATCACAGCTCACAGCAACCTCCAACTCCTGGGCTCAAGTGAGTCTCCTGCCTCAGCCTCCCAAGTAGCTGGGACCACAGGTGCCCGCCACAACGCCCGGCTATTTTTTTTGGTTGCAGCCATCATTGTTGTTTGGCGGGCCCGGGCTGGGGATTCAAACCCGCCACCTTAGGTGTATGTGGCTGGTGCCTTAGCTGCTTGAGCCACGGGCGCCGAGCCTTTTTTTTTTTGCACTTTTTGGCCAGGGCTGCGTTTGAACCCACCACCTCTGGCATATGGGGCTGGTGCCCTACTCCTTGAGCCACAGGCACCACCCAAAAAACACACACAGTCTCCATTTTTTTTTAAAAGTTTTTTGGCCAGGGCTGGGTTTGAACCCACCACCTCTGGCACATGGGGCTGGTGCCCTACTCCTTGAGCCACAGGCACCACCCAAAAAACACACAGAGTCTCCACTTTTTTTTAAAAAGTTTTTTGGCCAGGGCTGGGTTTGAACCCGCCACCTTTGGGATATGGGGCTGGCGCCTTATTCCTTCAGCCACAGGTGCCACTTCGCTGGCCTATTTTAAAGCATCTGTGTTTTATCTTTTTTTTTTTTTTCTCTTTATGTCTTTGTTACTAGGCTTGCATTCTTTGAGAAGAAAGGCTGTGCTCTGTGTGTTTCTTATTTATTTTACTATAGCATCTAAGTAGAGCCTGGCTCCAAGTGGGTGTTTATTGTTTGATGACCAAATGTGTAAGAAATTAAAGGAAGATCAATAAATAAGGAAGATAAATACATACAAGGTTGAACAATTAGGTTCTTGAACTCATCCTAGAAAGTGCTACATACCTCATTGCTCAGTATCACTATGGTCACCAGATGGCCAAGTGGAGCACTTCAAAGGTGACCACAGTAGTATTCAGCAACGACGTATGTAGCACTTTTTCGAGGATGTGTTTGCAAACTTACCTGTCCAACCTTATAATAAAAAACTCCAACTTTTTGGGAAACATTTTCCTTATGGATCCATTTTAGTTAAGCAACTGCTCACCTCTATTTGCATGAATTGTTGGCTTAAATACTCCAAATTTTAATGTATTGATTAACCTTACTTTAATATATGACACACTTTTTTATAACTTTATACCATAAAGAATTCCAGATAGTCAAAATCACCCCATCAGTTGTTGAGGAACAAGACTGTGACCCGAAGCCAGATTTGGTGGCTGCAGGAAATGATAATAGGATGGGTGATATTATAAGACAAAACTGCTGGGAGAGCCCAAGGGTGAGGGAGCTCCTCACTGCAGAGGCTATTGGTACTAGAACAGTGAGATGAAGGAGGGAGATGGCACCATACATTTTCTGCAGAAAGGTTACTAAGACTACCTGAGACACAGGAGTGCCTCATGAAACTGTCTAATTAGGGCCTGACCGTTTAGCTTGTTGGGTTCATGTTTTCTTTCTTTTCTTTTCCCTCCCTCCCTCCCTCCCTCCCTTCCTTCCTTCCTTCCTTCCTTCCTTCCTTCCTTCCTTCCTTCCTTCCTTCCTTTCGCCTCAAGCTGTTGACCCAGGTAGAGTGCTGTGGCATCACAGCTCACAGCAACCTCCAACTCCTGGCTCAAGTGATTCTCTTGCCTCAGCCTCCCAAGTAGCTGGGACTATAGGTGCCTGTCACAACTCCTGGTTATTTTCTGGTTGCAGCCGTCATTGTTGTTTGGGGGGCCTGAGCTGGATTTGAACCCGCCAGCTCAGGTGTATGTGGCTGGCGCCTTAGCCACTTGAGCTACAGGCACAGAGCCAGGGTTCATGTTTTCATCGAATAGAAATCAGCTGCTGTTTTTGAGGTACTCTTAATTCCACTAGAAAGGACCTGTTAACTTAATTTGCTCTAGAGCCATACAAACTCAGGTATTTTTTTTTTTAAGACAGAGTCTCACTCTGTCACCCTGGGTAAAGTGCCATGGTGTCATAGCTCACAGCAACCTCAAACTCTTGGGCTCAAGCAATCCTCCTGCCTTAGCCTCCTGAGCAGCTGGGACTATACCAGGATATAGCCACAACTTTCGGCTAGTTTTTCCATTTTTAGGTGAGATTGGGTCTCACTCTTGCTCAGGTTGGTCAAAATTCAAAATGTTTAATGTCTGCCTGAAAATAAAGTACTTTTCTTCTCCTCCTCTCCTTTCAGGTGTAAGATGAGCCAATTGTATTTTGCTGGAATGACAATTGTTTTGTGTGCTAGGCTCATCAAATGGGTGTTAGTTTCTGCTGTGAGTGATTCACATGGGTCCTCCTTCAGAAGCCTGGAAGAGCAGATGTTACCTGAATCAATCATCCAAAGAACACAGGGAACCAGAACCAGGAAGACAGTTGGGAAGTTGGGAGAGAACTCTTTTCTCTCTTGGGTCTCGCTTTTTGTGTATGATCAGTTTAAACCAGAGATCTTCTACTGAGATGCATCAGTATCAGTTGTGAAGCAAATTGCCTTTTGAAGTTTATAATTAAAGAGTAATCAAAGCTAACTACAGCGAGTCACTCGCATTTGTATTCTAGTATGTGGGAACAAAGGAGATGGAGACAGCAGGCACCTGTAACCTGCAGCTGCTGGGGCAGGTGCTGAGTCAGGCATGGACACAGTGCTCCCCCTGTGTGCTACAACAGAGGAAAGGCTCTGACATCTGGGCTAGCTGTGTTTGAGGGGCACCTTGGTGGTGGGGAAATGGCCTCTATCTCATATTGCCTTGCCAAGAGCTGGGCTCTAAGCTCATGCCATAAATCAGGCTTTTTTTTTTTTGTTGTTGTTGTTTCCTTTATGTTATCCCTAGGCTTTAGCAAAGTTTGCCCAAGCACCTAGATTTGCGGGTCTGAACTTGATGCTTTGGCTGTAACATTAGAAAGGGAAGGAGATCAGTTTGTTGATGGTGGTGGTGCATTCCGAAATGTCCCTAAGGGAAAGGTGAGTTACAGAGAAGGAAAATTGGGGTTATGATCCATAGAACACATACTCCCCTGACAATTTTAAAACTTCTGTGTATGGCTGTGTAAAGCAAACTGTTGGCTTTTGCTATAAATATTCCTTCGCTTTGTGTTCGGGGAGGCTTCTAAATTCTGTTGCTGGGTATTTGGTTTCAGAGTGTCTACAGATTCATAGGTAGGCTTCCTTAGGTTCAGAGACAGGCTGACCACTTCCAGCTTTGAAGAATTCTAGAATGCTTATGGTTTAGAAAGAATTATACAGAAACGAAACAGGATGCAAAGAAAAGTCAAATGCTTGTCTAGCTTTCTTTCCTTCTTTACTAACACATCTATTATTGAGTAAATCTGGCTTCTGTGTAGAGTCACCACTAATATTAAAGCAGGAGAAAGTGTGTAAATGTTAAAAATTGAATAATTGTCAAATTTGAAATATGCATTGCTCTTGCAGTGTCAGCCAATGTCTTCCTATGCAGCCTCTAAGTATTTGTTCACCACCAAAGACCAGAATAGCTTCGGGCCAGCTGGCAGAGATTCCTATTGGCTCACAGTGATGGCCAAATGGTAGGGACCCATGAATCTGGCTTCCCCAGGGACAGACTCAGTTATATATTAGTTTATCAGGAAGCAAAGCGGACTTCAAAGCAATTGCTTTCATGGGTGGAATTGTTCTGGTTCTCCAGCTGTTAGAACTGTGCTGTCTAAATGTCAATATGACAAGACATACGTTGAGGAATTTGGAACATTATCTGCAGATCCAGATTCCCAAACTGACATTGATGAGGTCTTCAGATCTTTGGAGTTGGTGTATTTTTGGCCCCAATGTAATAGACAACGATACCCCTCCCCAATTTGTGCCTTTCTTTGCATCCTGTGTTTCAGATTTAAAAAAATTCTCTATTTTTAGTATCTTCTGGAACCTCATCATTTTGACACTGGGAAATTGATTTTTTTTCCCCATATGGATGTGAGACTCTTTAACAATCTTTTACTACATTGTTCATTTTTGGCAGAATCCTGACTAAAAGCACGATGGTAACCAATATTTAAAAATACGCAAAAGCATTACTTTCAGTTTCTCTCAGTAGTGCCAATATTTTTCTGAGCAAACTACCCTAACAGCTCTTCCACGCTGGAATCAGACAAAATTGATAAAAATAGAAATGAAGGATTCTATGAAATAAGACAAATTATGCTTTGGGAGAAAATCATTTGCTATAAAGTATAAAATGTTTTAATATTTGTATCTTATAATAATAAAACCACGACATGTTTATAAACACTCTCTCAGGCATTTTTACAATGGGGGACCACGGCTCACAACTGAAACGCAATAAATATACACAGACACACTGAGTATGAAATATACATCTTGATTTTATAATCGTGTGTGCTTTATTTTTTACACAAATGGAATGGAATCGTTGAATATTTACACTTAACAGGAGTGTAAGCTGTGCAGTGTCTCTGTAAACTCCAGGCAAAGAGTATTCCCCCACTCCCTCCCATCCTGCACTACAGCTCCATGGAGAAACATCCTGTCAGAGAAGCACAAAATTGTCATATCGAAAGAATTGTACAGCCTGGTGCACTCAGAAGTTAAGACACATTTAGGAAACACAAATCAAAAAGGAGAGAAGAAAAGCTTGCCATCCCATTGGGAGTCAACCTTGCCACCTGGTTGTCTGTCCTCATGAGTTGCTAGGAAGACACTGTACTCTTTTAGATGACCTTTGTCTAAATTGTCTGCCTGTCTTAGCTCTGACCTTAGCTGCTACAAGAAACTGCACAGCTGTACAAGAAATGATTTCTGAAGCACAGATTTCAGTGAGGAAGGATATTTACAGACTGGAGAGTGTGTGTGGGTTTCCAACCACATCATTCATACCTAATGGCATATGTGTATATATGATATGCATACCAGAGACATCATACATACACAGAAGTAAAATGTATAGCCACAGAATTCTGTAGGGAGTCCCCTGGCAAATCAGTTGTCACAGGAGGTACTCCACATGCTTTAAGGGAATTGATCCTTCCCCCCCCCCCTCCGTGGTGACCAATTAATATGATTAACTTAGGAGCTAGCCTGAGTCCTTGGCTTAAATATTTTGTTAAGAATTTAGGCAGGACCAAGACAGGAAAGAAGAGATGTCATTTCACCAGCAAGTCCACTCATTCTCACCAGAGCAATCACCAGCTTGAAAAGCAGAGGGGGCTTCACATGAAAATGGGAAAAAGAAACCTTATGAATGGGGGAAAATGTCTCTCTCCAAACCAAGGCGATGGCATGGCTTCAATGAGAAGGAAGAGGTTTGCTGTCAGAGTAATTGTTGGGGCCAGAGTCTGCCTTTATTGAAGTGTGTCCTCAGAGCCACGGAAAGTGTTGGGAGTGGGCGCACTTAGGAGCAGCGTTTGGGCAGAGGCACCCAGGCGCTGCCGGGGCCCACAGCACGTGCATCGTCGCTGCCAGGGCAGCGGTGCAGGCTGGCTCCAGGTGCGCGCGGGAGCCAGCTCCAGGCCAGGACCTCGCACTTAGCTTGGCTCTCTGGGCTGAGTAGGTGAAACGGCCACCCAGAGAACTTGTGTCATTAGTCCAGCATGAGGACTTGCTGTCTGAACCAGCCATGAGCCCTTTATAGGACAGAAAAATCAAGGAATGGGGGGTGGGGCAGGAGATGATAGAGACGTGAGCAGAAGAGAAAGGATGGGACAAGAAGGGAAAAGGGAATAAGAAGGAAAAGAGAATGAGACAGGAGGAGGGATGGACAGAAAGATCATAGGAGAAAGTCAACAGGGGTGGTGGGAAGGAAGGGGAAAGAGGAAAGGGACCAAAAAGAGAGAAGGAATGAGATTGAAATAGAAGGAGGAGAGCAGAGGCAAAGAATGAGGAAGGGTCATGAGCCAGAGCCTGGAGGTGCTTCCAGGCTCGGCGTCCTGAAGGGCCGGCGGAAGAGACAGCGCACAGAGGCCCTGTGTGGGGCTCCGGAAAGACCGGCTCACTAAGCAGACAGCCAACCCAAGGATTCGGGGCTGGGAGAAAAGGCCTGCAAATAAATGGCCAACGCAGCCTATGGAAGGAGAGCAAAAACAGAACGCCCCTGCAATTTCTGACAAATAGCATTTGGATTTTGGTAAAGCTGAGACCCCCGTGGTGCTACACATTGTACCAGAGCATGAAAAATAGCACCAGTGACACGATCTGGCACTTTTTCGAAAGGGCTCAGCGTGTGAAGGTGACATTGCGCCCCCAGCAAGCCTTCAGATTGGAGAGAGCTCTGGACAAAGTTTGCAGTGTTAGCACCAGTCTGGCCCCAGGCTCCGAGTGCACTTGCACCAGATGTAATCTGGGTAACTTTCATGGCATTTCCACACAAGTCATCAGACCTGCTGCAAAATACACGAGTTCATTGGAGCCTTAGAGACCTCAACATTGGGAAGCGCAAGACAACACAACAGATGGAGGTGGAAATTCTACAGGAAAAGACCCTCTCACCAATTTGCTTGGTGATTCTTCAAGCAAATATATATGTATATATATTTATATAAATCTACATAAAAAAATCAGTGCAAATGCTGATTCTAATCTGGAAGCATCTACACTAGGAAAATAAATAATTATATTACTACAAAACCAAGGGTTGGTGGTTCAATTTGATTGTACTCAGCCACAGCAACACTAGTAAATGGAAAGCACATCACACAACCCACGAAAACAGCTACTCATTAATGACAGTCCTTTAAATAAATGGTTGCATGCTCAGTTGAGAAACCAAAGAAGTTATCATGGTGGCCGAAAAATAGAGCTGGGATCAGGAATGGCATTCTGGTGGCAAAAGACTTCTGGGAGCAATATTGATGAAGGTAGGCCTTGACCCCAAACTGGCGAATTGCAGACATGGACACATCTTTAACATTTTGAGCACTCTAAGGAAGTCTCTGGAAATTTAACTTTCATCAGAGGGAAATGCATTGCTAGCCCTTCCACTGGCAAAGGCAGCCTCAAGACTAGAGGAAGATGCATAATTTTGCATTTTTGTATTTGTTTTGGTGACTGCAGCCTGGCAGGCAATGGTGACCAGTATAAGATGGACAATGCTTGCTTTTGGAAAGAGACTCTCATTCTGAGCTCTGGATGTTCTTATTGTGAAGAAGCCCCACCACTCTGATAGCTCTATCTCTTGCTCTCCCACCCCAGCCTACATGCTGGTTTGCTGCACAGTGTGGCAGAATCCCTGCCAGGTCTGGATGTACCCCAGAAATAAGGCGATGGGGCTTAGTCTGGGCATGGACAGAACCCAGAGTTGAGTGGTTACTGAGATCACTGAAAAGTCTCTCTCTAAACACCTTGGGCAAAGCAATGCTGATGTTACCATCAGCTCTAAAGTGGGAAACTAACTCTTCTGTTTCAGTTTATAGGCTTTGGGAGGTTTCTTTTTTTTTTTTTTTTTAAATCATCATTATCATAATTGTTAAAAAAACACTTGGTTCAGGTGCAGCCCCCAAAAGGCAGTTCAATTGGTTGAGCTCAAAGTCATTGTCTTCCCTTGTGGTTCTATCTCTCTGCCCTGTGTACAGAAGCAAGAAGTCTGCATCCCTCACGCCCAATCAGATACTGCTTTTCTCTTCTTCCTCAAAGAAATAGTGCATCTTGGGACAGATGGTCCCATGGCTCTAGTATGGCTCTGGCTGTTAAAAAAACTCTCACTCTGTGAAGCAAAAAAATTATAATCCTAATTACTCATGGTTGGCCAAAATACTGAATGGTCCTTAAGAATTGTATTTAAGGTAAGTAGGATCCATGTTATTCAACTATTTGCATGGCAGGCCCAGATTATTTAACTAGAGTAAAGCAAAACCTTGTTTTTAGGACATTTGCACAAGTTTTTCTCCAAAAAGTCATCAGCTTAAAAATGCAGTACTCAAATGTCTTCCAAAAAATCTAGGAGGGCAACTCATTAAGGGATGTGCTCCATGATGGTGTATTGCTAATGGGGAAGGGAGGTCATGGGAGGTAAGTGAGGAAAAAGTCTTTGTCAGACTTGGAAGGAACTCAGATGCTCTTAGTGGATCATTGGCAACAAAAGGGAGAGTGCAACTTTCAGTTCTTGAATTTGATCATCTGCTGATAGTGCATACATTTAGTCTCTCAATTAGTCTTTACAAAATAGTTCACAAAACTTTTTAACCTATAGAAATTCATTTCTATACATTTAATATATTTTTATTGTATAAATTATTCTCATCTTTAGTGCCTTCTTTCAGTTTATAAATGGCAAAATAGACAATCAACGATTATAAAGCTAATCCCAGGTGGAATCCCCTCCTCTCAGTGAGGTTAGTCCTCCATACACTTGCGAATTTTATCAAATGCTTGTCTTTGCAGATGCCAGTCAAAAAACTACACACTTATCCTTCCCTGATAGTATGCCGTCTTCCAAGGGATTCCTTTCTTTTTTCCTTCTTTCATTTGCTTGTTAAGAAATCAAAGGATGTGCATAGTTATAAAATTCGAAGTGTATCAATTACAGATGTGGGTAATGGGAAGGTTGGTGAGGTTCGAGTGCTGGCAAATTTTCTTTAAAGCAAAAAACACAGAGAGCTCAGCAGCTAAATCAGCTCTGGACATCTGCTGGGGTGAGGAGGCTCCCATCTCTTGGGAAGAAAGCCCATCAGAGGTTCATCCCTACACCTGGCACTTTGAGCCAACCAAAGCCTTCCTGCATTCTGCAATGTCTCTTCTGTCCCACCCTTTGGCCCCTCCGTTTCCTTCATGGCTTCATACAGTTTGTGTTGTACATTCATAAGAATTCACATTGACTGCAAAAACATAAATGCAACAAAAACATAAAAGCCTCCAAGTAGTATAGTATATATATTTTGTTCTTCTAAATGCTCTTCTGTCGTCGTCAAGAGGCGCAGTAGCTAATTTATAACTTTTCCTTTGATGGAATCCAGATGAAAGGCCCAGACTGCTCTTCAATCACAAGCTTGCACTGGTTATATATATCTTCTAAGGTGTCTCCTTGGACGATAGCTGTAACAAAAACAAATACGCCCAGAGTTAGGAATCGTTTCCTAAGGGGTGAAGAAGAATCATCACTCACACAGTGGAAGCTCAAATCAGTGACAGATAACTCACCTGGAAGTTTGACAGCAATTTTCATTATTAAGAAAAAGCAGAAAATTGACATAAGGAAGGTCACATTAATGGTGGAAAAAATGTTTTCAATGCATGTCCTGGATCATTGATCAACGTATCACGGTTTTGCACTTTGTATATGTCTGTCTGCAGTTTTGAACAATGAATGATTATTTATTTAATAAAGATTCTATAGGTACCTACTCTGAGCCTGGCACTGAGGTTGGTAGGCACTGATCAATTTTTAGTTTGAGAGGTCTCTGTTTAGCACAGAAAACTGGTCTTTTAGTCTCTATATTTAACTTACACTGGCAGGGGTAGGAATTAGGGTATTCTTTGACACAGAGGAAATAATAAAGGTTTTAGAGGAAACTTGAGATTGTTCCCCAACCCCTGACGCTTTGATAGGAAATGCTGCTTACTTTCTAAGTCATCTGGAAAGCTGGGATTTTACTACACGAGGCTATTCATATTTAGATTATTTTATGGCCACTGCTTGTAAGAAACATAAATAGGAGGAAACATAAACAAATTGCTTAATTGTATATTACCTAAAACATGAAGTCACTAGGAGACTATCCCCTTTGAAAGCTATCTTGTAGATCTCCAGAAAATATCAGTATTACCCAGATGACATGAGAGCTTAAAAATAAACTGCTACCGAAACATGGCTTAGATCTTCAAGAACAATCCTGAGGACATTATAATTATTGTATTTTATTTCTGAATGTACACCACTGGTTAAAATGTACATTGTTTCGACAATTTTCCTACCTGGATGTTCTTTTAGGATGAAAAATAATTTATTTCTTAGTGACCGAAACTTAATGTTCACTCAACTATTTATAAACTGATTCAAAATATTTATAAACTACTAAGACACGGGCACTTTCCATATTCTGAATGAAATTTAAAAAAAAACAAATTTATGGAAGGTAATTCAGGAGGAAAGTCTTTGTTTTGAGAATCAGCTGGAAAGTAAATTTCACAGAGATTACTCTCTGGATTTAATCAGTATTCCATGAAAGCATAAAAAGATAGAGAACTCAGGATACTCAAGAAAATATTCCTCTATTCATCAAACTTTATGTTTCCAGGGAAATCTTTAAAAAGAAAAACAAAAGTTTTGCACTGAGACTTGACATGAGAGTAATCGAAACACAGGGAAGTGTTTCAAGCATCTAATTCAAGTGCTGCTGATGGAGAGACAGACTCCAGGTCCTGGAAGCAGGGCACAGAGGCCCCAGGGGCTTCTGCAGAGTAGCTGCGTTGGACACTGCTCATTTTGAACCCTAACAGTTGATTCTCAAGTTTTTTGATGATATCAGGGAAATAGTTTAACGAAGTGTCAATACCTAAAATCTCAATAGCGGGGCATCTGCTGCTCCTGGGTTTGGATAGGGTCAGCGGGAGCTGGCTGCAGCTGTACTCAGAGAGAACCTGGAGTTCTGTTACAAATGGGTGAAGCAGACTCGTGCACATGAAACCGATCTTAGGGATTCTAAACAGAAGGTCTGGGGGCCTGAGTATATCAGGCCTTGAGCCCTCTCTATGCCAACTGTCAGACAACATTTCTCCTTTTTGACCCAACCAGGGTTAATGAACTTACCTGTAAAATATTCTCCAAATTCTTGTTCTAGCTTAATTGCTCGATCATAGGTTTTCTTGGCTTGTTCTTCTGTTAGACGCTTATTCATCTCCCTGGGAAAATGAGGGTTTGGTATTAGAACACAAAATAGACTATGTACTCAATAAAAAAAAAATTAAAATGGATGTAGAATCTTAGCAGCAGCTTCCTAATCTTTATCAGGACTCATTTTGGCTAGAATAACTTCAGTGAAGACTCCCTGCCAGAGAACTCATTCTTTCAGAGGGCAGTATCTTGGTCCCACACTGGATTGAAGTAGAAGCTGTCTCCTTATGATACTCAGTCACTGGTCCGTGTTCTGTTACCTGTAATCCCCTAGAGTAAGGCTCTTTGTTTCCATTGCGCTAGGCCTTAGGGCAGTGATTTTCAACCCGTGTGCCACAAAAATTTTTAAAGATCATTAATAAAATTATTTTCAAAAGAAGTTCAAAGTATATTATTTGTTTTACTCTTTTTTTTTTTTTTGGCCAACATAAATTTTTTTAATTTTTTTATTTTTATTGAATGGTAACTATGTACCTTAATGCACTTCTGGGGTACAGTGTGGGGTTTTCACACACAATCTGAAACACTTCCATCAAACTGGTTAACATAGCCCTCATGTCATTTTCTTAGTTATTATTTTAGAACATTCACATTCTTCTCTTAGAAAGATTCACTTGTACCCTTGTAAGATAAACCTCAGAAGTGATCCCTCCAATCCCCCTCCCTCCACCCATTCCCCCCTCCCCTTGGTCAACATAATTTAAATGTGCCAGGGAAGTTTAATTATAGGTTCAAGTGTGCCCTGAGATAAAAAAGGCTGAAAAACACCGGTAGGGTATTTAAGTAATGTGCTCATGTGTCCCTTGAGGCTTCCACTTCTTCAGAATAAATTGTCCTACTTCCTTCATCTATTTCCTCACTGGATATAATTTCTAAATCCAAACTTTCCTAGCCACCCTTCCTAGAATTTTCTTCTAGTATATCTTGGCCTCTTTTAAATGTAGGGCATAGAATTGAAGAAATCTTCCAGGGATGATCAGAGGAAGGAGACAAGAGGAAGGAAAGGGAAGGGATATCTCAGCTTGTTGGGCCACATCCCATTCTGAGAGGACTAGACTTGACTAGTCTCCTGTCCTGGCCTTGCAAAAGGCTTTGATTTCTTGACTTTCAAATCTTCCTCAAGGGTTGCTGTTTATCCTCAATGTGTACCTGAAAATATGTGAAGTAGAGAAACAGAAGGTTTTCCAAAGAATTACGGAAAATGGGTTAGTCCCCTTAGATATTATTTTTCAGGCCAAAAAGACATTATGTGGCTCTTCCTGCTCAACTTCTGCAAATGGTAAGGCATATTGATAGCAATAAGAGCCCTGAGCTTTCTTTGTTTCTATAATCAAACGACAGCTTAAGGATCTGCTGCTGAAGGACTGAAATAAAATAGACACAGAATAGAAAAATCAAAAGTGCAGGGAACAAGATATTTTCAAGTAGACTATCTGCGAGTAATTTAGTGAAACAGCGAGCCAGGATAGAGGAGATTGGCAGAAAAGAATCTCTCATGCCTACTTTGTTTACTTTTGTTCTAATAGGAAAATAAGCTATTGAGGAATTCTGCCTGGGACTATTTATCCCTTTCTTTCTGTCTGTCAAATATGGGCGTATCATTAACTGTGCAACTTTCCTTAGTCATTGAAAGATTATGTAAAATGAGTCTAGCTTTAAAGACTAATCAAATTGGGAGAGAAATGGACAATTCTCATTCTCTCTGAAATTTAATCAACTTTATCTTCACATATCCTCCAGGTGTCACAAAAAGTTCACCCAACATGCAAAGACATTGTGGTTGGCTCACTAGGATGCATCGCAGGTGCACAAAGAATTCCTGAAAGCACCACCGCCTGGCATTCCACTTGCAAAGCCAGAGACCCAAGCCTGGAACACCTGGTCTTAATCAATTTCTTTTTCAGAGCAAGTAATGGAGGCTTGATGTAAGGAATGGACTTGTCTAAAACTGTATATTTAATAAGGAACCATCTGGAGTAAGAACTCAGGTTTCTTAAAAATAAATTGTAGTCAAATAGACTTATATTGTACCAAGACTTGATATCTTTCAAAAGAGGTTTATTAGGAAAAAATTAAAAAAAAAAAACTATTGGCTCGGCACCTGTGGCTCAAGCGGCTAAGGTGCCAGCCACATACACCTAAGGTGGTGGGTTTGAATCCAGCCTGAGCCTGCCAAATAACAATGCCGGCTGCAACCAAAAAATAGCCGGGCATTGTCGCGGGCTCCTGTGGTCTCAGCTCCTTGGGAGACTGAGGCAGGAGACTCGCTTGAGCCCAGGAGTTGGAGATTGCTGTGAGCTGTGATGCCACGGCACTCTACCCAGGGGGACAGCTTGAGGCTCTGTCTCAAAAAAAAAAAAAAAAAAAAAAAAAAACTACTCATGTTAGTAACATGATTTTGACTATGATGTTGAAGGCTGAAATATAAAGAAGTGAGAATTTCCTGAACTCTTTTTGCTTAAGTAAATTCATTTTGTCCTCAAGAATGGCATCCCCAATTCTTTACCCAAATTGTTCTGGTCTTGCAAGCTTGCATGGATGTCACTCTTGGGTACAGAGATGCTGGGTTAAGCTAAGGGATATTCCTCAGGAAAGATGGTGATTTGTACCAGATGCCAAGAAGTCACATAGCCCCTTTGACTTGTCAAGTAATCTGTCTTTTCTAAGTTCCCTTTGCACTTACTGTAGCAATGACCTAGTTTAGGTTTTTATTCTCTAACCTATGGATTTATTTTGTCTCTTTGACTAATCCATGAGTTATGCAAGGGCAGAGACCATGGCTTGTTTATCAGTACGTGGTGTGGAGCCTGATTCCACACTTATTTATTGAATGAATAAGTCAAGGAATGAATGAATAAATGAGGAGCTAATTAAATAAACATAATTGTGACATAACTAAAGACAGAAGTGAACACAGGGCATCACAGGAGCAAGAAGGGAGCAGCAAATTAGAAGTGCCAGGGTGAACAGACGTAGGAAGGCATCTCATTGCCATGGGGAGGGGGCAGCAGAAGTCAGGTGGCAGCACAATGTAAAAAAGAACATCTCTTTCACGCACACCCTTGATTTTACCTCCTCTGAAGAGTCAGCTATGTATGTGCTAATAAGCTGTGTGGTTTATGCAAGGGTGCACTTGAGAAATAATGTGTGTGATGATGTATCAATGCCTAAATGTGACAGCTGCCATGCTTTTGTTCTGGCTGACCTAGCATTCGCTTCTCCCCAGGGAATGGGCAATTCATGCCAGCTTTGCTCCTGAATAGAAGCCTTGGAAAAGGGTGAACTTTAAAGTAAACAACCAGAATTTAATAATAAGATTGCTTTGGTATGAGTGTTATAAGACCCCTGAGGATGGGCGTAGCAAATTGTGTCAGACTCGCTCTCTTCACTGTGGAATCCGGCCTTCAGTGTGGTTAACTTTCCTTGGCGATAAGTGGCTGTGACAGTGCCCTAAGGCAAGACTAAGTAAGTCGTTGCATAGCTGTGGAAGGAAGCAGGCCGTCTGCTATGGAGCACCAGATGGGACTGTCCCTGACTGGGCCAGATGTGCCACTGCTGTGGCTTTCTGGGGCCTCGCTTTCCCGGGAAGCCGTTTGTCCCACTGCGTGCTTCCAAGGTGAAGACATTCTTCTATTTCTGAAACAGGCTTTTAGGATGGCTGTTTCTAGGAGGGGAGGGCCATTTTTCTACTCTTTTTATTAATGTTAGCATTACTTATAATATTCATGATGCTCTTTACAGATTATAAATCACTTAAACATAATGAAATTTGTACTTGCTTAATTCACTTAATTTACTCTATACAATGCACAACACAGTACCCTACATAAGGAGAAATTTAACACATGCTTTTGGGGATAATAATATTAAGAACCTTTTTTTTTTTTATCCTCAATACGTATTTTTCTGTGTGCCAAATATAGGACAAGCTCTTTCCCTGATAAATTTAGTACCTAAATTCATGGGGCTGAAGGTACTGTCAGTGACCTCCTAATTTTATTTTTTCATCTTGGTAAGAGTCCTTGCCCATCTTTTATTTATGGGACTATATTTTGCTTTTAGGATATAGTTCCGGCAATTTCCTCAGAGATCAACTATGTATTTGACTTAATTCTCTCAGGCGGCCATTGCAGACGCTGTGGTTTGCTGTGCTTCTTTGTCCTTGGCAGAGATGGGGAATAGTTAGTCACTATCTTCTGCAAGTAACTACTTTCACCTCGGAGATTAAGTTTCTGTTTCTTTGGTCTTTCCATAAACATTGTTTTCCAGGAGGGCTCTGTGGTTCACTCCTGAACCCTGTCAAACACTCTGGTCTTGAGGCCCAAATGGAGGCAATGTTTGAGCAAAGCTCTTGTAACAGACATGGTGAGTCCACAGCATTATCTCTTGGACTCTCTTGGAAAAAGTGCTGTTTATGGGTTCTATAATGACAAGATGGCTTCATTCCTTTATAATAAAATGGCTTCATTCCTTTATAATAAAATAACTTTATGTCTTTTATAATAAAAGCTGCTGTGGATTAAGTGCTCACCATATGCTAAAGACTACGGGATGAGCTCTACACTCGTAATTTTGTTGTCTGACCTTCACAATAGCTCTATGAGATACTTCTTCCTGTGCCTAGTTTAGAAGTGAAGAACTAAATCTTAGGGGGTGGGTCAAGCAATTTGCCCAAGGTTACATGACTGATAAGTAGCAAAGCAAAGAACCAAAGCTGGCCCAATCCATTTCCGAGTCTCTGCTGTAGCCTGTTTGCTCTGCTATTTGTAACTACTGGAGTTTCACTTTTGTGAGTGGCTTTTGCCTATGCTGACATTATCTGCCTATACTGAATATCTGCCCAATGTGATATGTGAAGGGAGATATTTCACAAGTTCTTTAGGAAACAAAAAGAAAAGAAGGAAAAAATCTGAGTCTTGTACTTTCCTCTTGTTTATAAATGTACGCAGGTGTGGAGCTGTTGGCTTAAGTTATAGAAGTTTTACTGCCATACCATTATGAAAACTCCCTACAAAGAACAGTGGTCTATTGGACTTCACCTAGCAAACATAAACAATATCATGTAATTTTCTGCCCCCTCATATTAACCTGAAAAAAAAATTACAGTGGTCTGTATATGTGAAGTTTAATTTAAGGAACATTAGAATTCTATTACAGAACAAAGTAAAATGCTAATGGTAAAAGTCTAAAAGCTTACTACTTCTATAAAAAATCCACATCTTAAAAAAATATGGACCTGCTCCCAGAAGTAAGAGGAAATTAAAAAATTATTGCTCCCTTAATCTTCTGTGTAGTTCTCTTGTTGATGATTTCTATAACTCAATGGGAATCAAGTAGGTGGGAGGGCGGAGGGGTTGGGTTAATTCGCACCTAACTGGTGCGATGAATATATTTTGAGGGAAGAGCACATGTATAACTCTGACTTGAAATGTACAAAAACAAATGATATAGCCAAAATGGGAGTACCCTTGTAATATTCTGAAATAATAATAATAATGATATAATTTGGAAAGCAAATCCAAACCAAAAAAACAAAGCAAATCAAATCAAGCTATCCTTAAAACAACAACAAAAACTCAAATAACTAAAATAAAATAACCAGTGAGACAAAAAAAATATGAATCAGGTAACATTCCTTAGGACCTTTCTTGAACTGCTGGCCTCAATACATCCTCCTGCGTCAGCCTCCCCAATAGCTAGGATCGCAGGTATGTGCCAGCCATTGTACCTGGCGCAAAACTTTAACACATCTTTAAAATGTTTAAAAATCAGCAATGGCATCTCCCATTTGTGAGCATTTGTGACAAAGAGCTGTTAATCTGCTGGGCATTATGGAAGACCGAGATAGTTGCATGAAGAGCTCTGATGATTTCTACTCACATCAGAGGTTCCAGAGACTTGGGCTTAATGAAGATGGCGATGGGATAGAGCTGGGCAACTTGTAACCTCTTGATAGCATTTCCTGATACGTCAAGTATACAGTGTTTGCCCTGGTAGAAAGAGAAGAAAAATATGGAGTTAGTTAGCCAGAAAAAAATGGCCATTATGCAACCAAAAGGAAATAATTACATGTATGTTTTAGAGGAAGGTATGGGATGCTAGATTTCTTTTCTTTTTCTTTCTGCCTTTTGTTTAGTTTTATTATACAAAATCTTATTTTATCATTTATTAAAAGTAGATATTTTTATTTAATTATGGGTACACAAACTTGCTTCTCTTTATAGGGTACATGGGACTTTTTGATACAGGCATATAGTGTGAATTAATCAAATCGAGGTAATTGAGGTATCCATCACCTTGGGCATCTAACATTTCTTTGTGTTAGGAGCATCTTAATTCCACTCTGTTACTGGGAAAGTATACCCTAACTTACCATTATTTTTAGTCACTTTGTTGTGCTATTATTGTTCATCCTATCTAATTATCTAACTGTAGTTTCAAACCCTTACCCACCCCCACGTTACTCCCCCTCCCTGCTACCCTTCATAGCCTCTCTTTCCAGCACTTTGTTTTCAATATTTAGTTCCCACATATGAGTGAGTATGAGATTTGCCTTTCTGTGCTTAGCTTATTTCACTGAACATTACATTCTCCAGTTCTATTCATGTTGGCAGGATTTTATTCTTTTTTTTTAAAGCTATATAATGTTCCATTGTGTATATGTACCACAATTTATCCATACATCTATTGGGGGGCACTTAGGTTGATTTCATATCTTGGCTATTGTGAATAGTGCTGGGGTGCAGATATGTTTTGATAACTGAGTTCCCCTCCTTTGCATATATACTTAGCAGTGAGATTGCTGGGTCATATGGTAGTTCTAGTTTTAGTTTTTGAAGAACCTCAATACTGTTCTCTACAGTGGTTACACTAATTTATATTCCCACTCTCAGTGTATGAAGGTTTCCCTTTCTCCACCTTCTTGCCAGCATTCGTTATACCTTTTCTAAAAGCCATTTTAACTGGGGTGAGATAATATCTCATTATGGTTTTGATTTGCATTTCTCTAATGACTAATGATGTTGAGCTTTTTTTTTTCATACAGCTATTGGCCATTTGTATGTCTTCTTTTGAGAAATGCCTATTCTGGGACACTGGATTTCCAAAGCTTGGAAGAAGATCACTGCCAAGAGTAAATAAAAGCTGCCAGTCACTGAATGCTTATGGTAATTTATATTAATTAGCCCCTTACTAAGTTCTGCCCTGGGCTAGACATGTCACAGGTGTTCTCTCAGTTAACTTTCTTTTCTTAAATACCTGATGCTTTGCACAAAGAAGATGTACAGCCATATGTCATATGACTGAGTCCACTCTTATAAGGCTCACAAGCCCCAATTGTCAAGAAGAAATTCCCACAGGTATTCTCAACTGCATTTTATTGGAGAGAGGCTAAGGCTTAGAAATATTAACTAACTTGTCCCCAAATTCAGTGCTAGAAGTACTTAAACTCATGTCTTGAGCACTGACAGAATTGTTGGTTAGAATAAAAAGACAACTTACTGTCTCACCCTGCCTAACATTAAACTTGGAGAAATGGTAATCAGGTGAATTTATAATTCCACAGACATTCCCTGAGTGTTCATACGCATCCTACTGTTAATACCCTCAGTTTAGAGGTAGAAAGACCCAAAGAATTAACTTACAAATTATGTGTAACGCTGAGAATGAGGCTTGTATGAGATATGTAAATTTCTTATTTGTCAACAAATAAAAACCCTATTACATTATAGCATCCTCCATTTAACTTGGCTTCCACTGCAGTGAGTGTTCAGACTAAGGAAGGAGCTGCCTCATAAAGTATTTCCGGAAAGTAGAAACATTTGCCACATCATATTCTACCTCCTGGAGAGAAATGGCCTCATTACCCTGAGGCTAGAAAAACTTTACATAAGAGGAGAAAGAAGCACTTTGTGCAGATAGGAGCTGTCCTAAACCTATAGTTATGGCTAAAAACTCTCCTACAATATCTACACGAAAATGAATATAGTCCAGTGAATACTTGAACTTATGAGAAACACCCTTAAGATGGTTCAAGTCTTCATCAACTAATAAATAAGTAAATTCTGAGCTTGCTATCTGTAAAGGGCAGCAGCTATATCAAGCATCTAAATGCTGTTTGATTATTTACTAGTCAGAACATTGCAAGGTAATGAAGAGATGGAAAAAGAGATGCCAGGGTCCAGGACACTGCCTAGAAGGAGTATTCACACAGTAGAACCTAGCTTCTGAAAGAGAGGAAAATGGGTGGAACTTCTTAGTGCGTTCTCAGACACCACAGTGTCTTATTTAATTCTTTATCAGTGCATCGAAAGAAAGGTCGTGTCAAATCAAGTCAACTCAATAGAGATCTTCTCCTAAGAAATGGGTCGTCTTTTTTCACAGGAGAGAAGATCTCTCTATAAGCAGATCTTAAGGTCACATGCAGGTGGCTCTTGAACATTGTCCTCTTTTTCATGCCCCTGAAATTAACAGCAAGAAGAGAACAGTGGCATCTACACCTCCTCTTAATTGATACTTCTGCCAGCAGTAGGCTGAGCAGCCCTCCTCATTTATCACTTCTTTCTATCATAAAAATGTCAAGTTTTTGGATCTGAAAAGCAAAATAACAACAAAAAATGCCGAAACCCCTCCTCTGACAAAGAATTGAGGATCCCTATCTAGACAAAGTTAAGTGGGAAGTCAGTGAGTCTTCCTGAATAAATTCAATGCTGTTCATTGGGGCCTCAGCTAGTGAGTCAAGGACAAAGTGAACCCTCATGAATTTCAAGCTGTTAATTGCCTTTAGGTTTATAGACCACTCGCCTTCCCATCCTCTCCAAGTCAGTCAGAATACTTTATTGAGATTAGAACAAAGATTAATGACATTGCTCTCAGGTGATTCTCTGCTTGGATGTCTTAAAACGAATATTTAATTAAAATTTACAACTGCAATTGGGAAAGAGTAATGACCAAAAAAATGCAGTTTGCCACCTAGAAACCTTTTTCAGAGGAGGCGAAAGAAGATTGGTGAACGTACTCTTTCTGCTACAAATCTCACAGACTGCACACTGGTCCCGTATAAGTTGTCATTATACTGGCCGGCTTCTATAAACTTGTGCTCTTGGATATCTTTCTCCATTTGTTCTCTGGAAATGACAAAGTGATAGTCTCTGCCATCCACCTCGTAGTCACGCTTTGGCCTTGTAGTATCTTTTTAAAACAAGAAATAATAAAATTAAGGTACATTTATACTCATACATTTCTATTACACCTATTTTCTCCATCACACCCTTAACATATTATAGATCTGCAGAAATATATAACATGAAGGACCATGACATAGTAACCAGTACAGTCTTAGTGTCCCACCATAACCAATTATAAACTGAAGAAAATACAAGGAACAATTGTTTTCAGATAACAGACAGTGCAGGGCTATAATCCTTGAGAGAAACGATACACATAAAGAGACATTTACCCCAACTCTCTGTATAGAGGCTCTTTCTTTCTTTCTTTCTTTTTTTTTTCTTTGAGACAGAGCCTCAAGCTATCCCCCTGGGTAGAGTGCTGTGGCATCACAGCTCACAGCAACCTCCAACTCCTGGGCTCAAGTGAGTCTCCTGCCTTAGCCTCCCAAGTAGCTGGGACCACAGGCACCCACCACAACGCCCAGCTATTTTTTGGTTGCAGCTGTCATTGTTGTTTGGCGGCCCGGGCTGGATTTGAACCCACCACCTTAGGTGTATGTGGCTGGCACCTTAGCCACTTGAGCCACAGGCGCCAGGCCTATAGAAGCTATTTCAAAATAGAATGCCTGGGAGACATTGCAGTTCAGCCAGAACTGGACATTTGGTTGAGACTTTGGAAAGGCCAAGCTTTAGAAAGTTATTCTAGACTTACTCTAGACCTACCTTCACAAAGACTAAATCCACGTAACAAATGGAACAAGCTGACGTGTCAAGAAACTTTTTCTTGCTATGATTAAAACTTAATATTCTATAAAGGAAAATAACAAAATCCAGACTCTCAACAATATAGTATGAGAGTGTCCCATACAAAATAAAAGGTTATGAGACAAGCAAAGAAGCAGGAAAATGTGTCACATAAGCAGGAGAAAATAATGGACATAGAGTTATAAATATATTCAGAGATCTAAAAATATATAAAATAAGATAATCACAGTTACAGTGAGACTAACAGTCAGCAATCCTAACCATTTTACCAAGATTTTTTTGGTAAGAAGAGGAGGGGAAAACAATCTAGAAATATAAATTAAAAATGTTAAAAGAGTTCCAATTTTTCATGTAGTTATTTTCTTTCTAGAAATAGATCTAGGAAAATGAGCAGAACTTAATATATAAATTTACCCTTAAGGAGAGTCATTATAGTTATCGGTGCATTGAAAGAAAGGTCTTGTCAGAGTTTATAAATAATAGTTATAATATATAATTACAGTGGTATTTATCATTTATGCTAGTGGAAAACAGGGAAAACCAAAATGTCCATAAATGAAGAATGATTGATTGTGATACAATAATCACTTAAAATAGTTATATAAAATTCTAAGGAATATTAAACAAAAAGGTGTTCAATCACATGGAAAATGCCTGCATAGAAAGAAAGCACTGAAATGCCAACAATGGCATCTCTGAGTATGGTATGGGATTCTGTGTATTTTTTACTGTCTTATTTAACTTGTGCTATTAATGAAAAAAAGAGAAAGTGTATGCAAGATGGAAGGCAAAATGGAGACAGCACTTAAGTAGGTTCTGTTTTTTTTTTTTTTTCCAGAAGTGGAAGATCTATTTGGAAGCTTCTGTACACAACTTAGTGTCTCACTTCCTCCTTCCCATCTCAGGACTTCCTCAGGATATGTTGCATGGCAGGATCTATTCCCAGAGCCCTTGCTGGGAACCACTCCATGAGCTACCGCCATCACCCTGGTCTTCTTTTGTCCATGTACTGCACACATAAAATTCCTACTTAAGGATTCCAGGTAAAATTTGCAGTACTGAAACGTTAGAGATGCTTGAAAGCACAACACTTAGAAAATGTAGAGTGAGAGAAAAATACTTGCTGGGATCAGATTTAAGAGCTCCATTACCTAATGAACTAAAATCTCCTCGTAGGCCTGTCTACATATATGGAAGAACTCCATGCATTTCTTTGCAACATAGTGGGATTAGACATGGGGTTGAGGAAGTGGAGAAGGTGTGGTGGTGGTACAGAGAGGGGAGAGAGAGAACAGAATCTTACAGAGCTATCCTCAGAGGGACCAGAGTCTGCAAAAAGCTGTTTGGCTTTGGGATTGACGCATAACCCTAAGTTATCCCAACATGATTTTAGAACATGGCTTTGCTTCTGATATCTTTCATTCTGTGGAAGAAGATGTCTCAGTGGTGTTCCAATCAACCTCTAAGAATATACTGATGCCTCCCATAAATCCTATGATGTTTAAAAATTTGGGGGGGGGTTACAAAGATTCATTCTGTCTTCTGGAGGACTATAGTCAGTTTAGAGAGGACCTTATTATACTTACTAGATAGATAACACATAGCAGCATGGATGAAAAATGTTAGGCAGGGAAATTAAATACAGTGCTCAGATAATAAGTATGATTGGTATTTGAATCACTGGAGAGATTACCAGAGGAACAAAACTAGGTTTTAACATCTCAAAAAGATCCAAAGTTCTCCCACTCCGAGATGAAAAATGATACTTACGAGGCACACAGGAGCCAAATTTATCAGGGAATTCAGATATCAAGTCATCATTGATCCGATCTTTCATGGGGCCCAGGATAATCACTGGCCGGGTATAGGTTACTGCAGAAAGAAAAAGGAAGATGTAGATGAAGAGAAAGGTGCAGAAACAACTGTAAAACTGTCCTGCAAGGGTGATTCTTAAGATAAAATGGTCATACTTTAAAAATTGCTAAGGGCATTACTTGATTTGGTAAATTACTCATACAGCCCTGTACAGGGAACCTGATATTTAACATTCTGGATGTTGGCTGTGCCTTCTTTTTGGACTTTACTAACAGGGAAAAGTAACTGTGTTTACTCAGTTACTCAGTGTTTGTCAACGAAAAGAACAATTTGGAGGAGTTTTGCTTACTCCATGGTTATGCCTACACAATGTCAAAACAACTGAATTTAGTCAATTGAGTGGGAGAAAAAAGAATCCAAACCAGCTGTTTAACCATTGTATAGACCTGACCTTAAAAAGTAATTGTTAGTAGTAAAATAACATCTTGTGCTTTTATAATTTCTTTTCATCAGAGCAAAATACTGTCTGTACCCTGCTGAGGTTTCCCCGATTCCTCTGTATGTGGGATTAGAGGTAACCTTAAAGTTCATTTGGTACAACTCTCCATCCATTGCCTGAACTCTCCCTGCAACACCCTTGTCATTAGCCTCTGCAAAATGCTTCCAGAAAAATGGAGCAGTCCACTGAGGGCCTATATTTTAGGCAGATCTGCTGGGTCCTTCTCAATACTGAGCTGACCTCAATCTTCCAGGAGAGTTTACCCAGCAGTCCCACAGACAGGGCTGTTGAGGTGATTCGATGTGTTCCTTTCCTCTGGTGACAATTCATTTGGAGGGTCACTCCATTCTCCTGGGAGCTGCTCCTGTCCATGCTCAGCAGGGAAGTTGTTTGGCGATAAGGTCCAAGACCAAGAGAGGAGGGTAAGGTCTGGGACAACTGAGTATTAGCCAGAGTTTATTTTCCTCAGTCCTTTACTCTATCCTTCTTTCAGTGGTGTCCCTTGTTATGGCCCAGAAATCAAGATAGAGAGCAGGCTGGGAAACTTACTTTCCTGCCTTGTGACGGGCTCATAGGAAAGAATGAGGTCTTCTTGCCCTCCTGAGAAAAGAAAAAAGGAAAGTTACAGTGAACCAACAGACCAGTCGTACATACACTACAGCTACAAGCCCTGCTCTGAAACATAGGAAACAGACACAGCTCAGGGTTGATTTTCCTTGTTCTCTCTCCTTGATCCATTCAAATATCCCTTCATCCTCGTAACACTCTGTAGCACTGTTTTAGTGGTGGGTTATCACACAGTCATAACTCTAAGCCAGCTCCCTGCAGCGGGGCAATGCCCTGTGAGACTGCTCCCTGTCTGATCCTGAGAAATGGAGTGCCATGGCCTCGACATAAAAGGTTGCTTCCTAAAAGGAAGCCATTTAGTTCAAAGAAAGGCTCCGTTCAATAGTTTGCTGCCACATACTCAGAGTTTCTGTACCTTTTATTTCATCGTCTAATTTATTTACCCAAGAAGCACATTGTTCAAAAGCAAAGGTCTGCTTGTTTCATTTATGATGTAAAAACTTCATCAGGACACTAAGTATTTTGCTCTAATATTAATTCATCAGGAAAATGCTGTGAGTCAATTAAAGAAGATTAAAAATTGAGGACAGTCCTACACTGTCTGCTAAACCATGCCTTGAACTAAGGGAGACCAAGCAGTCAAGTGTCAGCCCCTCCAATGTCATGTTGAATACATGAAAGATTTCTGATTCAGGATGGATCTCGGGCCAACAAATAACCATGAAAGTACACTGGTTTTCGGCAATTAGTTTTTCAATCACCCATTTTCTCTAATTGATGAATTAATTGGCCGTAGGATTAGCCCAATGTTTGCATTAGGTCTCTTCTGACTAACCTTTGGTGGGGAAGGAGGTTTAGGGCTATTGAAAGGGACTTCCTGCCTGCGGGAGGAGTGGAGTATGAGGTTGCTTTTCCTGAAAACCAAAGGTCAGTTCTCTCATTGCTTTATATCCTCGCCACCCTGATGCACATTCACAGCCTGGCAATAGCCACAGGACCTCCTGCAGGAGCCACAGCACCAGGGGAAGGGAAGGTAATTTCATAAGAGAAGTTACTACAAACTGGATAATGACAACGGATTTGGAAAAGTTAAGCAATATGTGGGTAAAGCTGTGAAGTGCAGATGTCTTTTCTGGAGGACGGGTAGCTGGGGTGGGTGGGGGTGGGCTTGTCTTGCTTTATCAAATGTGAGAAATGGCCCCAGGCTTAAGCCATATCGTACCTCAGCCTCAAGGAGGGCTCATGTTCAGAATGACACTGCTGTGCCAAGCTACCACTTCCTAAAGGCACAGAGAACTTCAGTGACATCTATCCACGGCTGCCCTACAAGTTCAGGAGACTCTCCTACATCGGGCAGGTGTTTGGTGTGCAAGGAGTCAGATTCATTTCTTTTATATTCAGAAAAAAATGATTTCCTTGGCTTTGATGGAATTACTGAAATTTACAGAGTCTAGGTCTAAAAAAAAAAGAAGATGATTGATTGCTAAGGCCCTGTTACCTAAAGCCTGAGGTATGCAGAGGTCAGAGGCCAGCACAGTTTTAGGGATGGAGGTATGGCAGACTAACAGTGTAGTGTTATAACTTTACAGGGAAAACTTCATGAAATGATTAACGTGTGACGGGAGGATCCTGAGTTAACAAAAGTTTTAAATCAGGTGATACTTGCACCTTATACTGGGAGCACCATAAAGGCAAGGCCGGCATTTCATTCATCCCTGTGCCCCTTACTATAAAGAAACACAATTTGTGTTCTGATCTCAGTCATGGGAAACAGGATAAGCAATGAGGTCAAAGGTAGGTTCTAATTTGTGTTTTTATCAATATGGCAGTTCACTTTGGAAAATATGGTTTTTCTCTAAAAAAAATGTAACATATCATGCTTCCATCGAAATCTTTTTCCAGGGGCCTTGTAAATCATTCTGATGGAACAGTCTTAAGACAAATCTTAAGTAAGCTATTTGATGTCAGTATGTATGATTTGTGATTCAGAAAACCAGGGCAAAGTGCAGCTTTGATTCATTTGGTTAGAGCTCAGTAGCTCTAACATGCCCTTTGATTGACTTCTCCGTGAAAGGTACTGGTGCTGGTTCAGAGCGGTAGTGTTGGCAGACAGCAATGCCAGCATCCCTTATGTCACAGCCACCCCAATTCTCAAGGCCCTGAGGAAGGCCCTTATCAGGTACCCTGTGATACTGAGGAAGCCTGTGGGCAAGCGGTGCACGTAGGCACTACGTAATTGCTGTGAATTCAGTACCTTCAACCAAATTTCACTTACATGTTCGAGAATGAAAAGCCTTGTGGGTAATAGGAAGGGGACAGAAGGGGAGAAAGAAAGTTACAGCAATGAGGGAAAGAGCATTCATGCCTGTGGGGCACTGAGCAGGGCTTTCACCTCCTTGGCTTTAGTTTTTCACAGCTATAGTTTGAGGTAGGTACTTTAATGATTCCCATTTTACAAATGAAGAAGCTGACACTTGAGCTGTTAGTGACACCTGCCTGTTTCCTTAGCTTGTAAGGGGCAGTGTCAAGATCTAATTCTACTTTTTTTTTTTTTTAATTCTGAGTTTTGTTGAATATATTGCAAAAGGTAAAAGAAGTAGAATTCTCTGTGGGGCTGGGGCTTAGAGGTAGTACTCACAAATGGACATGGGACTGTGGGGGTAGAGACAGGAGCTGAAACCAGGTCAGAGTCACTGAAAGGTCATCAGGTGTTCCAGCTCTAAATACCAGCTCTTTTTTTTTTGAGTGCTGCTGTGTCACCTCCATAAAATAGTCATCCTTAGGAGTTTTTCTATTTTTTGCTCTGGAGAGGCTGGCACTCAGAAAGAACAGCTGCCAAAAAGGTACAAACTCTTTCTTGGTCTTGTTTTGGCAACAGCATGGCTGGAAGTGGGAGAGCAGGGCGGAGCTGTGTGTGGACGCCTGCAGCTGTCAGAATCTTGGCGGAAGACTGTATTACGGTCTCCACAAAACACTCTGTGTTTAAACTGGAAGCGAGTCACAACGAGGGACCCTAATGTGCCTTCATGCAAGAGAAAAGCAAGTTGGTGTCCTTTAGAAATTCTTAGAAACTAGAAAAGAGAGCTGAAGGAAGTGAAAACCAGTGGCAGTACAGTTAGTGTTCTAAACTTGGGTTTTAGTGCATGTGCATGATGATGATTAAGAACAAATTAGGTTCTTGGAGCCACGGAATGTTTGTGCCGAGGAAGGGTTTGGAGTCCACGGCTTCAGAGATGGCAAGTCTGCAGCATGTGCTGTTACTCTCCTATCCCGCCGTCCTGCTGAGCCTCAGCCTGGCCTCACACTGTTTTCACTACAATTCTCCAGGCAGCTATTGCCAATCGGTTCAAGATGGAATCTTCATTTGCCATCTTTGCTCTAATCCAGGCTGCTCATTTTACATAGGAAAGGTTTAAAGGCTCTGAGCAATTTCTTCAAGATCACATCATAAACCAGTGGCTCAGTATCTCCAAAGGATGTTCAGAAGATTAAATTTGTTAATAATGCATACAGCATTTAGTTCAGGCTTAGTACATAGTTAAAGCTGTATAAATGTTGTTGTTTGTATTACTTTTATGGAGTGGTTAAAATATACTTGATCAAATGTTAATGTCAAGAGGCGTGGATTGAAAACTATAGCGAAAAGCAGAAAAATATCTGGGATTCAGAATTTCAAGGTCTTGGTTGGACTTGCCATTTTTCCACCTACTAGTGAATCATGTAGCCTCTTGGAGCTTCAGCTTCCTCATATGGAAAGGGGGCTCTTAATGGAAAACGTATCGAATACTTTTGTTGTAGAAATCAAATGAGATAATCGATGTAATGACAAACTGGTTTTTTTTTTTTTTTGGCCTGGCCTGCAGTTTTTTGGGGCTGGATTTGAACCCACCACCTCTGGCATATGGGGCTGGTGCCCTACTCCTTTGAACCACAGGCGCCGCCCAACAAACTGTTTTCAAAGACATCTAAGGGCTAAAGCTAAGAAGGGTGGATTAAGGAGAAGAAGAGGTACCATTTTGACTGACTCTGGATAAGAAGTATTGGGTTTCCTGATCTCAACACCTCAATTTCATTCAAATCATTTCTTCAAGATCCTTGTTTGAAAATTCTACTTAACTGAAAAGCATGAATGGGTTAATCATCAGCTCTCAGACATCCATCATGACATCAAGAGCTTTACTGCACTTTGAGGAGGCTTTAAGAGATGTCCACCATCCCCATTTATACCTGCTGGTGTTATTTATCTATCTCTTCCAAACAGAGGGAAATCGAAAGGTATAATACCAAACAGGTGAAAATGCAAGCTTTCATTTTCCTACCTTATTGACAGAAATATGGAATTAGCCCATCATTAGGAAAGTTCTGAGGTGGCACTTTGCACGATTAGACAGTATGCCCTTTAACTGCAGTTTTAGCTATTACATACTGCTCGGTATAGTTGGGCTTGGAGAAATTATTCTATGATATTTGAGATGATGCAGCAAAGATCTGAGCTATTTTTCAGAAATTGAGGTTTAAGTGCATCTATGTGCTTGCAGATGTATTTCAGGAGATACATGAGGCTTTCAAGCAAGGTTGCCATACTATGTAACTCCTGGCCACAATGTGAATGCTGTACTCTAGATTATGAAACACAGTGGCCTGGATCTTTATTTCTAACTCCTGACATTTTTAAAAGCCATTTTTGTCCCTAGAGTGGATGTGGAATGATTCTAGGACTGAAATATAACACCTAGATATTGGTGAAAAAAGTCTTTTTTTCCCTGTATTTGTTTATACTGCTATTCACAAGACATCAGATTGGTCATAATTATAGCAAAAGCCAAAAATTCCCTAGAAAAATACAGTCTACTCTGATTTCAAAGTTGGTGCTTTCTGGAAAACATGTCTGTCCCAAGCCTCAGTGCCTTTTGTTGTGCCATTGTCCTTTCTGAAAAGTTACTTCCTCATTTTGTCTAACTGGCAAGTTCCTCATCTTTCCAAAGCTCAAAGGCTGCTTCTCTGAAACTATATCTAATAGTCCCGCTATTCTT